CTATATCGTAGATAGGTAACGTTTGCGTTTGTAAATGCACCAATGTAAAATGTGAAAGAAAATTATTCATGTATCGCGATCATTTCTAGCGTAGTTTTTTGGCAGATTAATCGTTTTTGGATCGTAATCGTACGTTCGATCGAAACTGGGTCATGTATTTGTCCTTCCAACACTTGTTCTATTTTTTTTCTTTTTTTTTCTTTTTTTTTTCTTTTTATCCTTCTCACTACATCAAATGCATTTCAAACCTATACAATTCGATCTCTGTTTCGTTGTATTTTTAAAAGAATGTTAATGTAACGTGAAACTTATAATAATTTTCTAATACTTGGCAATAATTAATTCTTAAATTGAATTAACGAGTTAATTAGATTTGAAAAAGAAAAAAAGAAAAAAAAAAGAAAAAAAATTCAATAGCAATAAAATGCAATCTCAAAGTCATACATCATATAATGAATTTAGTGAATTAAATAAATAAAAATTTCAGAAATTTATTTATAATAAAACAAATATTATACAAAGATATTCTTCATATATTATTAATTTATATTTTGTCCATATTTTAAAGAATTGATTGAAAAATGAATTGAAATATTTCTATGGTAAAAAAAAATGTCTTTACTAAAATATAACAGGAATTTCGATTCTAATGAAAATTAACGACAGAAAAGATGTATTTTTGACAATTTTTCGATTCATCGTACAGTTTATTTTAACAAAAACTTTTTTTTTCCAATTACGTCGTCCGATTTAGCGATCGTATGTAAAATGAGATTATATTCTGACCTGGCTTTTATTGAATAACTTTGAGTTTCCATTTTCTCTCTCTTTCTCTCTCTCTCTCTCTCTCTCTCTCTCTCTTTCTCTCTCTCTCTCGCTGAGCGAAGAATAAAAAAAAAATTCAACTTAATTTGATAGCTTAATAATCGCCGTGTCTTTTTATTTGCATGATCGAATCTCGAAGTTATTATGAGAGACATAATCTTTGAGAGAATTTGAATAAAATTTTTTTTCTTTGTATCTAATTAATACGACAAGACAGGTGATTTTTATTTTATTATATCAATATAATATATATATATATATATATATATATATATATAGCGAGAAAATTATTCATTTTTTAAGGGTACTTTAATTTTCTTTTTCTAGTAATTCATAAAGTGTAATAAAACGTATATTGAAGTATATTTATCTTAAGTTATTTCATTCTAAAATTTTAAAATATTAAATTAAATAAAAACGATCATAATTCAATATATATTATAATCTGTATAAATTAATAATACTTCTTTATGAATCGTCAATTCTGAAAATTACCATGACTATTATTATTATTATTATTATTATTATTATTATTATTATTCATACGTTTACATTATTTCTTACTTAAAATCATTTCAACGTTATCTAACGTTAATTTAATATTTGTAGAAAGTTTATTCTCGATCCAATCGAATATTGTTATCGTATTGTTTATTAATAGACTTTGAAAGAAAATGAATTAGTTTTTTCCTTTTTCTCTTTTCCTATTTTTATCCATTATTTGATGAAAAGAATGTAAATAGCTTTCATTATTTTCTATTTTTCTAATTTTTAATCAATAACGTAAATGGAAAAAGGAATTAACGACGAATATTTTTATGTTGGAATATAATTTTAAATAATCTTAACAATTGCGAAAGAAAAGCAATGCGCCAAAAGTAGGAGAAAGAAAATCGTTATTACGTTAAAACCTTTCACGTTTTTATTATTACAACCATTAATACGTATTTTTGTAATCAAATAAAAATAATAATAATAATAATAATAATAATAATAATAATAATAATAATAACAACATGAACAATAACAATAACTTTCGCTGCTTTTGGAGAAATTCATTCGTTCTCCTTCCTCTCCGTTTCAATTTCATTTTCTTTTCTTCTTTCTCGAATTGTTTTTCCTTTTTATTTTTCGTTTTCTCTTCCCTCCCCTTTCTTTTACTCTGAGAAATTCGATCATTTACGAAACACATCAAGTATAGGTACATACATACGTACGTACGTAACTACGTCAGAGAGCATAGCCTCTTAAAAGCTAGATCGAATGTAGGTTAAGCGAACGTAAGTCCCTTTTTTTCTTTCTTTCTTTCTTTCTATTTTTTTTTTTTTTTTTTTATTTCTTTCTCTTTCTTCCTCCTTTTTTTCCCTTTTTCCCTTTCCTACTCGATATCACCTATACTTTTCTCGTTTCTCGCTTTTAAAACACGTCCATCGATTTCCTTCGTGTTCACGAGAGAAACTCGTATGCTCGTTAATAATTTCACGCTAAGCGTTCATGGAATGTTAGTCAATGGTCAAAGCAAACGTTGGACACTTTAACTTTATTATCGTTGTGCACAATATATAACTAACTACTACTCAGGAAAAATAATGAACCATAACTCCAAACATTTTGTTTTACAAATGAGGATATTAATTACCTTTCTCTCCCTATTTCTTTTTTTTTCTTTCTTTTCTTTTCTTTTTTCTTTTTTTGCCTTTTCTTTTTTTTCTTCTTTATTTTCTTTCTTCCTCTATTTCTTTTTTATTATCCTTTTTTCCTATAGTGATTAAAATCTACGAAGTTGCATTAAAATAAACGTTGCTCTAAAGTAGAAATGATATTTTTTTTTTTTCGAGAAGAAAATAGAGAGAGAGACAGAGAGAGAGAGAGAGAGAGAGAGAGAGAGAAGATTCATGAACAATATACGCGGCTTTTAATAATTCCGCGGCGTTACCGTCGGCTGGATTAATATTTCAGAGAAACTCGCTTCTTCCTTCCCCCTCCCTAACCCCCCACCCATCCCCAACGTTCCTTTCCCTTCTTTCTTTTTTCTCCCCCCTTTTTTTTTTGTTTTCTTCTTTTTCTTTTTTTCCATTTCTTCCTTTTTTATATCCTCCTTTTTTTTTTTTTTTTATTTACTTTTTTTAATTTATTTATTTTTATTTTTTGTTTTGTTTCGTTACGTTTCACTTACGATTCCGTATACATCGAAATACGACGAACGTTATATAATCAGGATGAAATAAATTTCGATGTAGTAATGGAAGTGAGTGAGAGAATGGCGAGAATGGCGGTGAGTGGGGGATTGGGGGGAGGTTGGATGGGAGTAGGATAGTATGTGAGCGCAGGGGCGGAGTAGGAAGAGGGTGAAGATGAAAAAGTAAAAAGAAAAAAAGAAGGAAGAAAAGAGAGGAAGAGGAATCAGGCTGGATAGTAAAGGGGGCGCTGGATAGTAGGGGAAACGTAGGATGCGGTGAGTAGGGAAGGGGAGGGAAGGAAGAAAAAAATATGGCAACTTCATCTTCAGGCTTAATTCAATGTAGGACCCAGAGACTCTCCGTGTACCGTGCAATCTCCTGCGTGGATACGTATATTGAATGCATGAGGATGTTACTCCGTGATGTTACTCAATGTACATACAGAGAGAGAGAGAGAGAGAGAGAGAGAGAGAGAGAGAGAGAGATAGTAAGAGATGGTGGTGAAGAGGGTAAAGCTATAGGGGGTAGCCAGGGGATAGATGATTGTACGGGAGGAATATCCAGTAGGAACTTGTATGCGTCTCCAATCGCATACCTCTACGTCTTGTCGAGTGGCGAAGCTGCATTACGGTCCAGTAAATCTGATTAATATCGAGCGTTTCGTTAATTAACATGTCAGTCTATCGCATCGATTCGACCATGCGTTAATCATTTCTAACAGTATCCTCTATAACATGGAATTCCATGGTATTCAAGCTTTACGCGTAAAATTTCAGCGGTCTTTTTTTTTTCTTTTTCTTTTTCTTTTTTTTTGTCTTTTTTATATTTTCTCTCCTTTTTCTTTCTTTCTATTTTATATATATATATATATATATATATATATATATATATATCTTATTTCTTCTCTCTTTCTTTCTTTCTCTCTCATTTATTTGCTTCATCTTTCTCCCTTTCTTTTTTCTTCTTCTTCGTTTTTTTTCTTTTTTTTTTTTTCTTTTTCTTTTTTCCTTTTTTTTTTGCTTTTCTTTAAAAACGACTTTCGAAAAGTTATCATATACGCATGAATTTATTATGTGCGCATAGTTTTTAACGAACGTTCACATTCGTTTCGTCGTTAATTATATCACTCGACTAGGAAGGAGAAAAAAAGGGAATTAAAAAAAGAAGAAATAAAAACCAAAAGCTAAAAGAGGATTAAAAAAGAGGGGAGGAGGCGGGTAGAGGAATCACCTGTGTCAACAGGTTTATTCGACCAAATTTATCACCTTTGATTTCTACTATAAGCTTCTATATTTTGATATGATGATATTCCTCTTGACAGTTTGCTCTTATAAAATTTCTATGAGAGAGAAAGAATGAGAGAGAGAGAGAGAGAGAGAGAGAGAGAGATACGTTCTTTTATATTCTGTGTTTTTTATTTTGATAAAAAATGATTACCAATGACACATTGGCTTTTGCCAGGATTGATATATTATTTTTGACTTACACATTGTTCCTGTTTTTTTTTTTTTTATTTTTTCTCTCTCTTTTTCTTCTTTCACGCCAATAGGAAAAAGTGTCTTAAGACACTTTTGGTCGTAAGAAAATTTTTCTTTGTTTTCTTTTCCTTTTTTTTTTTTTTTTCTTTCATTTACCAATTTACCATAAGTATATATCTAGTACGAATGAATTTCGCGTCTTTTGTTATTGTATTTCCTTCTTCCTCTTGTTCATTTTTTTTTTTTTTATTATTTTTTTTTTTAATTTTTTTTTTTTCTTTTTTTTTTTTTTATTATTTCTTTTTTTTTGATTCATACTTTAAACCACGGAACGATGATAGTGCATTCTGCTGACAAATGGTCGCTTACATACTCTATCGATTCGAGCATCGCGTAGTCTTCCGTTTGGTGTTTCGAATCTTGATGGAGTGTACACGGAAGTACGTGTACGAGTCTCGAATTTGCATTTGAACACGTTTGCATAACACTGAGAGCACGTACGAACGTACTGTTGCAGGTGAGCCACGTGATATAAAGAGTAACAACGGCTGGGAAAATGGCAGACAGACCGAAAAGTCGATACCTGACTTTCAGCATACTTCATATCATCACGTTAATGTGCCAAGGTAAGTCATTTTCTAAATCTTCAAGTGCACATCTATCAAATCAAATGTGATATTTATTTGCAATTGTCATATATAAATCTTTCGTTAAATGCATAAAACGTGTATCAGATCTGTTTAAACGATCTTTTTTATTCTAAATCATTTCATTTTTTTTCTTTTTTTTTTTTTCTTTTTTTTTCTTTTTTTTTTTTCTTCTTAAATCATTGCCTACAAAAAAATATACGAATTAAATATAGGCATGAAGAAAAGATTGATATCATTTATTGCATTTCTAATAATACATAAATCTAATGATTCTAATATACGTTATAATCATTTAAACGTTATAACGTATTATTTTTATATAATGCATAAAACATAATAAAAATACGAAATAATTGTTAGATGCATTCTCGTTAAAGACAAATTTAATGATAATTAAAAATCGTTCAATGTAACACGTTAGAATTCATATTTCGATTGAAATGAAAGCGTTTATATATATTAAATAATTCACACATTTGTTCTTATTATAAGTGAAACGTTCTCTCTATTTCTCTCTTAATAGGCGAGAGAGTACTAATTAACAAATTTAACGAAATAGTAAAGCACATAATTTGGTGAACACCATGGGAGAATTCGAAATTCTCTAGTATCTAGGGAATGATTTGTCATCGAAAGTAATACGGCCCAATGGAACGGTTGCAATGAAAGTTTCATTTTACTCGAAGTAGTTAGGGCTCTTAGCGTTTCGGTAAAAGCCGCGTTGGCTCTTACGCCACGTTATTTACCACTCAAGTTGACATTCATGTCTCGTCGTTGCTGCAGCATTACGGATGCTGCGTCTCTATTTCTATATTTCTCTCTCTCTCTCTCTCTCGCTCTGTCGTGGAAAAGCCTTTACCGTCACTCAGCTTTCCACGTATCTTCAATGAGAGAATTAGCACGAATCGACGAAGATTATGGATCTCCTCCTTGGTTCCTCTTTCATTTTCTCGCTTTCAATCGAGCGAATATTATTATTAAAAGTAATATTATATATATATATATATATATATATATATATATATATTTATCAAAGCGTAATATAGAAATATTTTTGGAATAATAATATTTTACTTGTAATTATATTTTTCATTATCATTTTCTTGTTAATTGATAATATGAAATTAAAAACTTTATAGAAAATTCTTTCTCTAATTTACATATAATCTCTTCTTACGTATAATCCTTTATTTACATATATTAATTACATATCTTTTATTTACGTGTATTGTTCGTTAAAACGTTCATCAAATCATTATTATGTTATTCGTTAAAATTATTGTAAAATTTGGAAATAAAATGATCATTCGAATGTTTCGTATGATTTAATACGATATAAAATCGAATAATATTAATTAAGTTATTAATTTTTATAAATAATTTTTCTTTGCGAACATTCTTTTTTTTTTCTTCTTCTTTTTTTTTTTTTTTTTATCTTTTTTTCCTTTTCAAATAAATACAATTTAATAGAGATTCGAAGAAATCGACATTTATGTTAATTATTCGCATGAAAAATATTTATGATAAATTATTTATGATAAATGATTCCTTCCATGTTTCATAACTAAAAGCGCTCAAGTTTCGATATGTTTCGAGAGGTGGAACATTTATAAGAAATATATCGCTGACGCTACCGTCCACTTTACCTCATGACCCGCAATGAAATTTTCGTAGTTACGTAGTTATAGTGTAAACGTGTACACTCACATACACGTACACGCTTAAAAAGCGTGCTTTATGAGCTTCAACGAATTCTGCCGTGAGCAAAGTTCGGTCGGTGCCGCCGCGTCAAATAAATTTAAACGCTTCCAACTTTACACGAAACTGTTCCATCGACAAAATATATATATATATATATATATATATATATATATATAGTTTTATATATATATAAAGAGAGAGAGAGAGAGAAAGAGGGGGAGAGAAAGGGAGACGCGAATATGTATAGAAAGATCATTTATCGTAAAAAATTGCCATTTCTATTATAAAAAAAAAATGTCCCGAATAGATCTTTTCTAATGATCGATGATAAGATAGATATTAATTAGAGTTAATAAAATTTTCCTTTGCTGTGAATTAATTCGTTTGAAAAATAAACCTTTCTATGTATAAATACATGTGTGTATGTGTGTGTGTGTGTGTGTGTGTGTGTGTGTGTGTGTGTGTGTGTACGTACGTGTTTACGTGCGTACCTATAATATCCCAACGAAAAGTATCTAGAAATATTATTTTGGAACCTAATGATTTCTTTTTTCGATAAGCGTCAAAACGGGTCAGTTTTATTTTCAAAGAGAATATATAAAAATACTTATCATAAATTCATTCACTTTGGGTTAATAATTTTTCAATGTAGAGATGGTTGGATGGATAGATGACAGGCCCGTTTGAAAATCTTAAATAAAAATATAAGGATTAAGTGACATATCGTCGATAAATGTATTATATCGATAAGTGTATGTCTTTATTATACGTTCTATTTTTTTGCCTCTCCATTTTTTTCCTTTCTTTCTTTCTTTTTTTCTTTTTTTGTAGTTTCGAAGTAGCCGTCCGAGAAAAAAAAAGCGTTCGAATAGCATCCTTCCTGTCTGGACGTGTTTCGAAAATAGTTGATAGATTTCATAATAATCCTGATGAACAATTTTCGTCGTGACACTTTCATTTTCTTTTCCTTTTATATCTATCTATCTATCTATCTATATATATATATATATATATATATATATATATATATATATATATATAACAAAGAAAGAAAAAGGAAAGACAATGAAAGAGGATCATCGCAACATTTCTTTTCCGTGTCGGTTGCAGGCGCCTTGCAAATCTGTTAAAACTTTCGAATGGGGAATAAAACGTGCCGAAGTTTATTTCCCCGCGACACTTTAATAATATTTCGTTATACAAAGGGAAAATTGTCGGGATTTAATTTCTTTCTTTAGCGATAATTACGCGAGTCTTTCCTTCATCGAATTAACCGCAAATAAGGAATAAAACTTTTACCAAACTACGCGTTGTCTTATCTCTTTTCGTCGTCTCTTATCGAGAATTTCGAATTATATCGAAAGAAAAAAAAAAAAAAAAAAGAAAAAAGAAAAGAAAAGTTAATTTATATCGACGTATAGGAAATTTTTTATTACAAAAATTTTTCAATCGCATACAAAACGATTTCGTATAAATAACGATAGATTAACCTTTCCCTTTGTGATAGAAAAATCGATATTCGAAATTTCGTTCTTCTCTCGTACCTTTTCTTACGTCTATTTTTATCTGTACCTGAACGATTCCGTAAAATTGCTAGTTCTTCGTTGCTTCGCCGTGAAAATTTTACAATTTCTTTGAAGAAAAGGCATCGTATGTCGCTGTAATCGAAGGTTATGAGAAAGGTCCAGTAGCAGCTAGATATTTTCTCTATCCCTTTCTCTCTTTCACTATCTTTCTCTCTCTCTCTCTCTCTCTCTCTCTCTCTCTCTTTTCTCTTTCTTTCTCTTTCTCTCTTTCTCTTGAAGATGCATACGTGTTCTTCTTCTAACGTAGCTCCTCGTTCGGGAACAAAAACGAGATTGATACCGTGCAGAATAGCGATGGGATCGAGATCGTTTCATGTAGGAAAGGAAAACGTGCGAGCTGCATTCTATCTCTCTTCTCTCTCTTTTTTTCTTTCTTTCTTTCTTTCTTTCTTTCTTTCTATATCTATCTATCTATCTATCTATCTATCTATCTATCTATCTATCTATCTATCTATCTATCTTTTCCTTTATCGTGGCTCTCTTCTATGCGAGAAGATTTTCACGTGACGGCCAATCAACGTCTTCTTTCTTCTCTTCTAGTTCCACGCATATAAACGAGAGACTGCAGAGGAGCTTGACGTGTCTCTTCGAACATCCACGTAAATATCAAAAAGTGTATATGAATTTGTGTATGTATCTACATGCGTGTATACGTATGTATGTATGTATGTATGTATGTATGTACGTGTGTATGTGTGTATGTCTTTCATCTTTGATCTGTTTTATAACAAAGAAAAATGTGAAAATATCAAAAATGCTCGCAAGAAATAATCCAATTATTTTTTAATTATGAAGATAATTCGTAAATAAGGTGTTCGTTGCATTGTGCGTGTATATATATATATATATATATATATATATATATACACACATATATATTTATTAATGAATGTGATAAAATTGAAAAGAATAGAGGATAAAAAATAAAGAAAAAGGGAGAGATAGAGATAGAGATAAAGAGAGAGAGAGAGAGAGAGAGAGAGAGAGAAGGATTAATCTTTAATACTATTAAGAAATTGCATGGGAGAAAAATGATATAATAAATAAAATGAAATTCGTATGAAAATGAAAATTCGAAAATATCTAATTTTTCGTTATATCTTTTCGACATTGTATATTTCATTTTATCTAATTGATAAAATGATAATGAATGGAGATACGAATCTACGGATGTAGTTAAAAAAAAAAAAATACAAGAAAAAAGAAAGGAGAAAAAAAAAAGATAAACAAAACAAGAAGAAAACAAAACGAAAAGAAAATAATTCGACAAAGCGGCTTACATCTTTATTAAGCGTATTACGTAGGATATTTCCTGAAAGATAAAGAGACAAGTTCCTCTTACATACAAATGTATGTAGGAGGCAATCGAAAAAATTTCGCAAGTCAAAAGACAGGTTGCGATTAAAATTTTTTAAAAAAAAAAAAAAAAAAAAAAAAAAAGAAAAGAAAAAAACAAAAAAAGAACAGAAGAGTAACGAGTAACATTTGCCTAGTCACATAAAGAATGACAATCAATGTTGTACCTTACAATTTGAACCCAACGTTTCTTCGTAATGAATCCGTGCCTCGTCTTTTCTGAAGTAAACAAAAAGATTTGTACATTTGCATAAATACCATGTTCCCTCGGAAACATTGGAATTTTTTTACAAGAAAAAAAGAAAGAGAGTAAAAGAGAGAGAGAGAGAGAGA